ACTGTTAGAAAGCTGAATGGCTACGCTTTAAAATGAATGTAAACTTTAACGTTTTCGTCTATTATTTGTTTAGCAATTTATATTTCAGTCGAGGATTGCGCTTTTTTTGATACACCCTGTATATATATAGATATATATATAGATATATATAGATATATAGGGGTAGATTTTCCTGATACCAGGGGTAGATTTTCCTGAGCAAACGGCTCGAAACGCTTTTGTGCATGGGCGTCAACCCGCGACAATGCTAGTAATTCCACCCGGCTATTTACAAGCGGGTATTTGAGAGCATAACAAGGTGCAAAGTCGTCCTCCATTATGTGATGGTTTTTCGATGTGATGCGAATGCGCGATTCGCACGAAAAAAGTTTTGGATTTTACAAGGCTTTCATTTCAGATAAGTCTTGCTGTTTTTCACTACATCTTGCAAATATAAATTTTGGAAAGAAATTTTTCAGAAGTACAAAACGCAGGTGGTGGACGTCACAAGAAAAATAAATTTCTATATTACTAATGATTTAACCTTCATTCACTGCTTCATTCACTTTTTTCATTTCATTCTCTGGGAGACTGCTTAATCCACAAGGATGTTGGGACATCTTCCGTTAATAAAGTCCTCTTAATTTCTGCTCATGCTTTATGTTTTGGAAAATTTGATGACATCATTGTTCTGTTTCAGATATCAACGAATGTTCACAAGCAAACATTTGTCACGCTCAAGCAACATGTAATAATACAGAAGGATCATATTTATGCACTTGCAACCCTGGCTACACAGGCAATGGAACGTATTGCGCAGGTCAGTATAGAGAGCCATAAAATAATGTTATAATAGAGCGTCTGCACATGGCGTCACACCCGCCATGTTGGTGTTCCAATTCATCGAAAGAAATTCAGTTAGACTCTTTTGTCTGGAACATCAACATGGCCGCCAAGGCTTTTGTTGAGTTGGTCCCCTGGGGAATGAGTGCAAACGCTCTATAATGCTGGAGAAAACAGATTTGAGCTTGAGTCCCCAGATCATTCTGGTACCCATTTGGATAGTCCGCAAAAAAGGCCCTGGTCATGTGACAGTCTGAAATTTGGGGGTGTTAGTGTGATAATGTATGCGAAATGCATAGACAAAAATTAGCATTTAAATGTGATGTATTACAGTCACTAGGAGTAAACACATTATATGTTGCGTAAAAGATCAAAGAGAAAGCAAAAGAATAATTTGATTTTATCAGATTTTCATTTTTTACACAAATTCAAACTGAAATACACCATCATTTGCATAGTTTTGTGGAATTGTCAATTGGCTCTCATGTAATGATTTTTGCCTTCCCAGTGTCGTCGTTCAGCACTGAACGATTCGGTTCAGTGCATGCTATGAAGACAGAAATACCACCATTCGATTCAGACATGAAAGATTTAACTAATTCTTCCCTATAGTTTTAGTCATTATCAACATTGTAGCGATTTATGGGCCTTTGAAAGTCATACACGATCATATTGTATCAAATTACGCAATTGTCTGAACAAAAATATAGACTAGCCATACCTTTGGCCGAAAATAACTTTGGCCCCTTCGAACATATCGTATTTGTAATAGTCTTGTTCGAATTCCCATTAAAAACACTACTTAGAGTGTTATTTGCAAGCCTGTATCTTCAAATCTGTATCTTTTATCAATATATTTCCATTTCTTGTCCGACTGTGAGCTCGAAGTGAGTTAATCCCAACCGGAAATACGACTGAAAACCGTCAAAACAATGCGAAGCTTGTATCGTATGACCCAGAGCGTATGACCTAAGGCCAAAGACCTAAAGGTCCAGTTACACGTGCGATTTTTTTCTCGCGCCGGCAACGCAACGGGTTAAATTTCATTGCGTTACTCGCGCGAGTGATGAAATTGCCCGTGTAACATATCTGGCTCGGTAATGCAATTGCAACCCGATATTCTCGGCAATCGTTGCGGAAAGTTGAAATGCTTGAATTTTCGGCAACGATTGCCGAAACTATCTTTTTTAAATGATCAAAATCCATTCGCATAAATTTTTCAAATCCTGGTGTGTCGTGGGCAGGCAGATCGGGAAGAAGCTGACCGAAATAACCTTTGTTTTTTCTCTCTAGAAGCCAGTGCCGGCTCCAAATACGTTTCTTTTCTTTAACCTCCTCGTCATCTTCTTCCAGCAAAAGCATTGCAGCTATGACCACAAGTTCTTTCTTCGACGCCATGTTGTTGTCAGTGACGTTTGTGCCCGGTTTTTTCATGCAAATAGTTGCGACGCGGCTAAGCTATCATTACTCGTGTCGCCACTTCACTCGCGCGAGTAACGCAATGAAATTTAACCCGTTGCAAAGACGTTGCGTTGCCGGCGCGAGAAAAAGATCGTACGTTTAACTGGACCTTAAGGCCAGAAATGGTTCGCAAGGTCAAATTGCACCTACATGCGTGAGTTTGACGTCATCCCGGCTACAGGTGCTTCTTATTGGCCAATTCTTGCGCAATGTGCGCAAGTGCGAGTAAAACCCGACATCTTGAAATATTCAAAATAAATATTTCTACTCGCCGTATTCAAACGAAATTTTGTACACGAAAGCGCTTGAATACAAAGAGTATTTACACATATAGCCGTTCAGACAAGGACGAAAGGTTCAAGAGATATTCAAGATTTTCTGGATATGAACTTTAGAATCTTTGGCCAAGCAGTGAGTAAATATATGATTGTTTCGGTTTGTGTAATGTTCTGACGGCACTTGACCCCCCGTTTGAAAGGTTATTTTGCGAGGATTACAATGGTGGCTTTTATTTAAAAGGGGGGGGGGGGGGTAAATACTCCCCGAGATATTTATGTTAGAAAAATTGTGTCGTAATATGAAGCGAAAGGGGGTGGTTGAAAAAGAGTTAAAATTAGAAGACATTGGAAATAAAAAAATACTTTAGTTTATTTGAAAAACTTAAAACTATATATTACTGTCGTTCCAATTGAAGTGTTCCTCAAATATTGATTCAATACATTACCTCGGGCTGACCAATTCATTTCATCAAGTTCCTCGAAATATTCATACACTTTCTAGTATAATTGTAAACTTCCTGTTGAATAGTTTGAATGCACCAATCACCTTTGTTGTTTGTGCAACTAACCAATCATAAATAGAAAGGAAGTGACCAGAAATGATCAAATACTTGGAATTGGCTATTTCATAGGAAGTGTATGAATATCTCGAGGAACTTGATGAAATGAATTGGTCAGCCTGAGGTAATGTATTGAATCAATATTTGAGGAACACTTCAATTGGAACGACAGTAAACTCTATCACAGATTGTTTATATCTTGCTTAGTTTTCAAAATATTTCGACTGAAAAAAGAGAGCTGTTCGCCATCTTGGATTGTTGAGGATATGCATGTTACGTCAAGAGAGGGGTCACGCTAATTTTTTATCTTGAGAGTAAGCGATCAATATGGGTCCAAAACTTCGTTTCTGGTTGCTGTCTGAAATTTAGAAATGATTAAAAATATTTCAAGCAATTTTGGATTGTTACTCGATCATTTTAGAGTAGTTTTATATGGTTAACCCAACCCCTGACGTCATCAAAACCATAGTTAATGAGATCAAGAATTAGTCCAAGATGGCGAACAGCTAATTAATTTCGATCTAAATATCTCAAGAACTATAAGCAAGATATGACAAATCGGTAATATAGTTAAATATATAATTTTAACAGTTCTTTTGAATGAAACAAACTAATTTTTTATTGCCAATGTAAAAACGTGAAAATCGTATTTGAAAAGGAAAATTTTAGTCTCGGTTGTACGAACGACGGACAATTTGAAATGGTTTACTAAATGATCACCATTGGGCCGATGAAGTTATCCGCACTCCTAAACATTTAAAATTAACTCTCCCTGGTGCTTATGTTTTCATTTGTGTGCGTATTTGTCTCTCCGCTTTGTAACTCAAACACTATCAAACATATACGAACACGAAATATTGGGAACTGATGGAAATACCCCATTGGCATTGTTGCAAATGAAGCGCTTGAAAATAGCAATATTAATATTCGTAATATCAATGCTAATATTAATATTTGGTTATATTAATATTTCGTAATATCAATGCTTGAAAAATTCCAAACAGTTTTAGAGATATTCAAGATTTTCTGCAAAGTACTGTAAAAAAAGCAAAGTTTTGGAATAAGCATTTTACATTTTGTTTGTGCAATTTTGTGAACTGAGTCAAACCCCTCATTAAAAGGATTGGTTGGTAAGGATTTTAATTGTGTTAACTTGATGTGAAGGAGTAAATAATCGCCGGAAAATTGCATTTGAAATACTGAAGTGTAGTTGCAATGTTTTCAGCTGTCAAGAATAGGCAACAAAATTAATATATCGTCACTTTGAACAAACATGCGTTGTAGGATTTCCTGCAGTATATGTTCCCTCTAATCCTTTGTAAAGAAATGAAAATGTACTTTTATAAACTGTTTGCCTGCATGCTCGTCCCATTCTGCTCTTTTAGCGTTTCTCACTGACGATCTTCAATCCCAACTCCATTACATTCGAAATATTTTTCAGGGCAGTGGGAGGTTAACCCATTAATCTTAGCCATATTCGCTCTATCACTAATGCATTCTTCCATCCGCTGGCGGGCGGGCGGACGGACGGACGGACGAACAAATTTTGTGACTACATTCTGTCTCTCAATTTACAATACAAGTCACAGCTTTTAGCGTTGTTAATTTGAAGCGGCGAATTTTACCTTATGGTATATACCATTTCCTGCAGTAGAACATTACTATAGTCAACGGATTGCCAAACGGGACAAAATTGCACGCGTGAATCAAACGTTATATTTTCTGGCATTTGTTGCTAATTCTGTTTTTGCTGCTGTTGTTATTTTATGATGATGATGTTTTGTTATTTTGTTGTTTTCCCGATGTTCCTGTTCTCTTCAGTTGTCCTTGTTTATATTGCTGGTCTTGCCTTTGGTTGGTGTTGGTGGTGTTGTTGTATATACACATGTCTAATTAACAGTTTTTGTCATGTTTTATATAGACATCGATGAATGTATGGCCAGTACTGAAAACTGTCATGTAAAGGCAACTTGCACGAATACGATTGGTAGCTTCACCTGTGAATGTATCGCGGGTTATGAATGGAATGGCACCCATTGTGTTGGTAAGTTATAGCTTAACAATGTAAAATGAACAGAACAGAGTAGATCTAGGTATTTTCTTAAGTGGTAGGTTTTCTTAGGTATTTTCTTACACTGTAATATTTAACAATCATAGAACTATGGACGTTTTAGAACGGAAAAGAACGAAGTATAAGTATTGTGCTGGCGAGAGATGAACCATAAAACTACACTACCTGCAGTGAACTTAATTTATTTTACTGATAAAGAGACGGAGTTCACTTCAATCTGCACATTTAAAGGTTTAGAGGAATTCGGATCGTTATGTCAAAATTGGGACAGTTCGTAATTCTGTTACACGCGTGTTTAATAACATTAATTGTTTTGATTTTCATTTTTTACACAAATTCAAGCTGAAATACAGTATCATTTTCATAGTTTTGTGAAATTGTCAATGTACTTTCGTGTAATGATTTTTGCCTTCAGTATCGGATGCAAAAATGTGAAAAATGTTATTTAAACACGAAAAAGTTTAGTCTCGGTTGTACGAACAACGGACAATTTGAAATAGTTTAAATAATCGTCGATGAAGGGTCACTCGTTACAGTCCTGACATTCGAAATATTTTAGTGAGGATAGTGGGAAGTTAACCCATTAATCTTATGCACTTTATCACTAATTCATTCGCCACTCCGCGAGATCATCTTGTTTTTGATGTAAATAGGCGAGCGGAATTAGTGTCCTGGCAACGCGCTCTACACATGTTCGGGGAAAAAAATACTGAAAGAATTGTGCCGACATAGGTATTATGCAGTTTCAGGACATTTATTTAACCAAGAAATTCTCAGAAAGATATTCGGGATTGATGTGACCATGAGGTAATGCATGTAGTCAGGCAGATAGAGGATCAAAATTATGGAAAACTTACCATATCGTGGGACAATTCCATTTTGCCTTCATATTGTGCCCTGAAGGCTAGCAAGTACGTTTCTGTATGTTGGCGGCGTTAAGATTTCTTGTGAGTTCCTGCCGACACGTTTTTCTTCGAATTTTATATTAACCTCTATTACAGTTAAAAAATGTGAAATTTCTGATACATTTCTAATACAAATTATTTGCATCAAGTATCAAAATTGTAATGCAAAGTGAATAGTATAAAAATTACACTATACGGCAAAAAATTGCCGTCGTTGCTGCATTGATCCACGGCATTTTGTTCTCCCTCTACGGCAATTGCCGCGATAAAATTCAATTAAGCCCTGGTAATAGTCTGAAAATACGCTTTCAACAGCTCATAACTCAAGAAGAACTTGAAAACCCTGGTAACCTTTTAAATGTCTTAAATGTAGTTTTTTGCAAGCTTTCAAATGATGGAAGTCATTTCGGTTAGAAATGTATTTGAAATTCATATTTTTAACTGTAATAGAGTTTACTGCAATATTCGAAGAAAAACGTGTCGACAGGAGCACACAAGAAAGCTAATCGAAATCTCCGAGTCCACTCTACTTTACATGCACCTTAACATTTATAATTTTAATCTAATTTAGTTCTATGTGCCAGATCTGTTTGTTACAGATTCTTGCACTGCTATTATCTGGGATTACCTGCACTGAAATCAATCAACATGCATTAATAGCACTTTACTGTATATTATATATACATTTTCTGTCATCTCTGGCTGTAACAGATGGTCAATATTTGTGGTGTACTAGAAAGTGATTAAACCTATAAAAGATCATCTAATAGTCTAAAGTGATAATTGTAGGTGTCAATATATGCAAGACTCAAGATGGAATGAAATAATGCTTTTCAGGGTTATTATAATAGACTACCTTCATAATATGAGTGGGATATATGACACGTAATTGGCTAATGGTAATGCGCGTGCATTATATCACCATAAACCAACTTTTTTGCCTTGTCTCTGGTTTCTTAGCAAAAACAATGTTAACAGAATTATAATCCTCACACATATAGAAACACATCCTCATACATAGAATCACATAGTCACACATAGCAACACATCGACATACATAGCAGCACATGGCAACACATCCTCACACATAGAAGCCGTTTAAATCCAAATTTATTAGAAACTAATTGACCAGAACTGCTACGAGGACTTGTAGTCATTAAAGAATGAAATTTATACGCCAAACGTAAACTTCAAACGCTAAACTTAATTTACTGCATTGGAGATTACAGGACTATTGGTTAATTTGCTTTCTTAAATCATTGCTAAATACCACAAGTTTAATAATTGTTTAAAATATTTCAAAACTGGTGTAAAAGCTATTGTGATAGAATTATAAAATCAAAAACTTTGTTAATCGTTTGACGTTTGCCTTGAACGTCCATCTTAAGGTCTGTAATAAAAATCTTGGACTCCAAATCCGGCTTGTAAAACGCAGCAAAACAACGGTAAATCCCTTTATCAGGGTGGGTTATTTTTGTCATTTTCTAACATTTTCCATCCAGTTTATTAAGTATAATTTCCAAAATTTATAATGTTTTTTCTATTGCCTGCCTGAAAATTCTAGCTTGTTGCTAGGCGATGAGTAAAAACATGCATGTGACATCATCTTTCAAATAAAATTGCTTACTGGGTAATATCTTGGGAAGCCTCGCAGTGCCTCGGAAGGTCGTCTCCACTTGAATGGGGGTTTTCTAAAGAACGAAGCAATTCATTGTTGTATAGTAAACACAAAAGCAATTGTCAAATCGAGCCAATATCTTCCTTTTATATTATAAAAGGAATAGAAAAACTCGTCTCATGCATTTATTTCAAATCCGACTATGAGGACTGGACTAGATTTCAATTTGACTAGATTTCAATTTGATTTGATTTTCAACTGGAGCAAAATGCGAGGACTTGAAATCTAATCCAGTCCGAATTGGAGGATTTGAAATGACATCTCATACGAATAAATCACTATTTAATTCATTTTGATCCAGTCCAAGGACTGAATCAATTTTGATCCAGCCCTAGGACTGGATGAAAATATTTCACCAGGTATATCCAGTATTATCATGTGAGCAAAATAAAGCAATATGGCTGGCTAATTTACTCATGAATTATTAATGAGTTTGAGATAGTGCGATAATGGAATGTTGGGAGAATTCAGCAGGTGAAACTGGTGCTTATCCATGTCGTACCCGGGTCTTAAAGTTTTTATCCAGGCAATATGTTGACCAAGGGTATGGGTATATACTTAGTAAATATACCTCTATAACATGTTTGATAATTTTTTGGACTGGAAATTATGAATGGTTGCAATAATACAAAATAGCAATAATACAACTTTACGAATTTTTACTATTCAACAGAAACGCCACCAGAATCTGACACAGAGACAACAGTGTTCGACCCATCGGGCAATCAGGCGACAATTCCAATTGAAGAAACTGTCCCATTTGCAGTTGTTATTGTAATTGCTGAACCATTCGTGCCTGAATTGCGGAACAGGCGAAGTCGGGCTTTTGGAAATTTGAGAAGGAGATTCCTGGTATTCTTGATTCCAGTATACCGCAATAGACGTGGTTTTCTTGGTATTATCTTCAATTCATTTTCCCAGGGAAGTGTTGTTGCAGATATCGAAGTATTATATAATTCCACCGAACCAATTCCGACTGCTGAGGGAGTTCAATCACCAATCGCTGAAGCAAGAGATAATGGATCGGCGATATTCAACATTTCAAGTTTACAAGTCGAGAGAGAGGGTGAGTCACACAGTACAAATAACATACATAGGTAGAAATATAAAGCCTACATTATTTTAATGCCATTAAACTGTTTTATTATATGGCAAGCATCACTTCCAGTAAAATTGTGGACTGTGATTGGCTGAGAAGCACTTTCAGCGCTCCATTATTTTCCCGTAATGGGCCGGCAGTCCATTACGTAAAAACAAACCGGCTTGCGTTTTAAAACAAAACGGCAAAATTAATTGAAAATTATAATTTAATTTGTTATTAATAAGATATCTGCGAATGGTTTTTAGTGTGTAAAGAAGGAATACATTGGAAATTTTTTTTCTTCGACCAAATGTGTACCACGCTACTAATATGCATTTCAAATCATGCACTTCTTGTTTGTTTCAAGTATAAATGCCTATAAATGCCATATAATAAACTTTTTACCTCGCTTGCTCGGTGTGTACAGAGAAATATCGAACCTCGGTCTTTTTTTTACAAACCTCGCCCTACTGGCTCGGTCTGTACAAAAAAGACCTCGGTTCGATATTTCTCTGTACAGACCTCGCGTTCAGTCAATTAATAAGAAGTTAATGTCAGCAATATATCAATACAAGCATAAATTTAAATCCTTCACAATATAAGTAACATGGAAACGGCTGAAGGAAGAGTTATGTCCGAGAGTTAAGATTTTCCTAACCCAATTTCTTCATTCTCCCGATGTTTTCTTTCAACTAACATGAGAGAGGTAAAATGGGCCTTATGTAGGTTTCTGTCCTTTTTGTAGGAATTCTGGACTTTTATATGTTGTTTATATCATTATCACGAGTGTTCACCAAACATTATAGTATTATAATCCACACTGCTGTTGATATGGTTTTGAAGAATATATTAGAAAATTATAGTTGAATAGCAATCGGTTTACGTAGCTGTCCATTTTGTGATGTTCCAGCCACATCCCTCACCCCTTGCGAACTATTCACGCTATATGTTACGTATGGTGCCAAGATTATAATATTATAACAGTTTTAATCTTTGCAACGCCTGTGTAGTTCCTACCTATAACTCTTCCAGTCCCCTATTTTTTACATGAATTTTAACATTTTAAATTTTGATGTAATTTAGGTTGTCCCAATGCTCCATGCTTGAATGGTGGGAATTGTTCCATTAATGGAACATCATTCTCTTGCTCATGCCCGGTTAGATTTACCGGTGACCAGTGCCAAATCGAAGGTAAATATTATTTTTAAAAAGGTACTGACTGTGAATTTTTTCTCTTTCCATTCTCTATTCCAGAAAGAATTTTGTGGAATTGAATTTTATTTTATCACTCATGATAGTGAAATTTTTGTTAAATTTAAAATATGCCTGAAAATTCGGTGATAATGCTTGAGAAATTGGCAATACTGGCAGAATACTGCAGAAAATAGATTTGTGCTTCTGTCTCCAGATCAACCTGGTACCTATAGCGCTCTTTGTTTGCCTGTTTGGATGTTCCGCAAAAAAGACGCTGGCCTCTTCTGGTCATGTGACACCCGAAATTTCGGGTGTTTTAATACGATAATTGCTCCGAAATGCGCGGACAAAAATTAACTTTTGAATTTTATATATTACTGACAGGATTGAACTCACTCAATATAGGCTATTTAATAAAAGAAAAAGCAACCAAATAAGTTGTTTTATTAAGTTTTCCTTGTCTACACCTTATTAAGATAATAATATACGGCGACGTTTGTCCGTAACTTTGATGACCTTTAAAAACATTCAGAGCCTAGCTAGACTGTTCATGATTCAATTTTTGTTTCACAACCAATTTGGAATTTGCATTCTTTCCTTTATATAAAGCATGTATAAGCAAATACATTCGTATCAGTATATTTGACTATAATGCTGTATGTATAAATGTATTGAAATCAACATTGTATAAACGATGCATGTCAGAAATGTTTGAATATAACAAAACTGAAATTTGAAAAATGGTGGCTAGCTGTTTTGTGGAAATTACTGATAAAGAAATAAGCGAAATTAAAATAAATTCGATCCCAAAAAAACACAAAAGACTTGTGTAAAAATACTAAAACAATTATTCGCATCAGGTTCGGTGACTATCGGGGCATATTCACCTCGACTTCGTCTCTGATATTATTAATGCATGTTGTTATATAGCTAGCGTGAACACCAAACGTGATTCGCTGATTTGTGGTCACGTGACTTCAGATAAATGCAATGTTTCCCGCCGGGCAACAAGTGAAAAATTGTTGCCCGCCCCGACCGGCCACGTACATAAATAAACAAAATGGAGGCACAACTCAGATAATTAGAAACTACGATTTTCCAAGTTTGTGTTCAAATAAAGAATATAAAAGAGAAGAAAAATACACAGCAGGCAACAGGATATGCTGTTGAAACCGTTCAAGTAGGTTCTTTTAATTTTAAACTCGTTTACACTATAGAGTTTTCGTCACGAAATACAATTGTTGTATGAATGTTGTTGAAGTTGATTTTTGTTCGTCGCTATA